CACCAACACCAACACCGCTGGGCTTGCCTCCACCGGGGGGAAGACGATCCTGGATCTTGGCGTTGGCGGCAATGCTTCGGCCACCTGGGAATAGAAGAAGAAAAAAACGCCACAGACATAAACTTTTGGCGCTCCGCGCGGATCCAAGAGATCCGCGCAGAGAGCCAAAAAGTGTATGTCTAGGGCGCTATTTTTTCTTCGAGGGAAGCCCGAATATTACCACCACCACCACCACCGAGCTCGGGAGCACCTTCCCTCGGCGGAGGCACCCCGCCGAGATGGGCGTGGGCGTTGCCCTCCAGCGCGTCGGCGGCACCAGTTCGGCCGCCTGGGAAGCCCGAGTATTACCACCACCACCACCACTGAGATAGGGAGCGCCTTCCCTCGGCGGAGGCACCCCGCCGAGATTGGCGTGGGCGTTACCCTCCAGCGCGTTGGCGGCAACAGTTCGGCCGCCTGGGAAGCCCGAGTACTACCACCACCACCACCGAGCTCGGGAGCACCTTCCCTCGGCGGAGGCACCCCGCCGAGATGGGCGCGGGCGTTGCCCTCCAGCGCGTTGGCGGCAACAGTTCGGCCGCCTGGGAAGCCCCCGAGTATTACCACCACCACCACCACCGAGATAGGGAGCACGGCCCCACGTCGGCCCAAGAGCACGGCGAGATGCCCAAGATGGCCCAAGACGGCCCAAGAGACCCCCAAGACCCCCTAAGGGGGCGCCAAAAGGGCCCCCGAAGAGGGCCCCAACTGGCAGAGATCAGTGATGTGACTTGGGTGCTGGAATGTGTTGGAGCTGTCGCCCTGTCGGATTCCCGACAAACGAAAAAAACGCCGGAGATCGCCCCAAGACGGCTCCCAGGAGGGCCCCCGACGGCTCAAGAGGGCCCTAAGACGCCTTAATAAACAACCGAGACGCCTTCCCGAGATGGCCCCAAGAGAGGCCCTGGAGAAGGAACGCAAACCGACATGTCGAGCCACCCGCCCAAAAATGGCACCCCGAGACCGCCAGCAGGCCCCAAAGAACCCCCTAGCCCCAGGAGGCCCCCGAAAGGCCCTGGAGAGGCCCCCCGAGAGGCCCCCGAGAGGCCCCCCAGAGGCCCCCGAGGGGCCCCCAGGGCACGCCAAAACCGCCTCCAAGAGGCTTCCGTGAGGCCCCCCAACAAATCCCCATGGGCATCCAAGAGGCCTCTGACCTACCACCAAGACACGTTTGCGGAATCGGCCGCAGGTCCCTATGTGAGTACACTAAATATATACACGCGTGCATGTAAGCACGTATGCGTTCATGTGTATATGTATGCACACATAGATGAGCACACATATATATACATATATATATAAAATCATAAGCATGCGCATACTCATATGCATACTCATAAGCATAGCCATAAGCAAATGTATATACCTATACGTAGACACATACATTTACATTTGCATTTGCATATACATATACATACATATAGACATATAAATATATAGTTACACCTATATACATATATATACATATACATATACACACATATACATATACACACATATATACATATACATACACATATACATATACATATACACATACATATACAAAAACATATACATATACATATACATGTACATATACAATTACATGTACATATACATATACATATACAAATACATATATATATACATATATACACATACCTATACATATCCATTTACATATATTTATACATATACATATATATACATAAATATAGTCATATCCATTCACATACACTTATACTTACACGCATACAGCTACAACTACATATGCATACACATATACATGTGCATATGCGTATCCATATACATATACATATACATAAACATATAAACATACATCTACATATATATAGATGTACAAAAGTATATACATATACATTACAAACACATATACATATGACTATTCATATGTTTACGCATACGTCTATGCATTCGCATATGCACACATACATGTACTTACACGGGGACATCCACATATACACATGTATACATGCATAAATTTACATACACACATGCATGCATACATACACACATACGTACATACATACATTCATGCATACATGCAAGAGGAACCGCTACGCTGCGAGAACATACGCATCGGTGTTGAAAATGAATCATGAAATCGTTGGCGGCAAACTCCTGCCCTTGCCCCAAGGCCCACCACTCTGGGCCTGAAAACGCTAGTCCCTGTGGTTTCCACCGCGACGTGAAACCGAACGCTGCCAAAACATTGGCGCGCAGGGCGCCGACGGTTTTGGGGGGCGGCCGGCCCGCCCCCAGCCTCTGAAACGTCACGCGCTGAACGCGGCTGCTGCAACCGACGCGGCCCCGTGCCCAGGCAACGAAAGCACTTTTTTGAATCCGCAGGGTGGCGCACGGTATGTGCTGCGTCTGCAGCGAGACCACGGAGATGATGCCGAACGTGGCGAGCGCGGCTAGAACCAAAGATACCTCCGCGACCATGGTCGCAATGGAC